CCGTGCATGCTCACACCTTAGGGAAAAAGGTGCCTGCTCACACCGGGCGCGCTCACGCCTTGGACACCGTGCACGCTCACGCCTTCACACCCGTGTGCCTGCTCACACCTTCACACCCGTGTGCCTGCTCACGCCTTCACGCCCGTGTGCCTGCTCACGCCTTCACGCCCGTGTGCGCACTCACGCCTTCACGCCCGTGTACCTGCTCACGCCTTCACGCCCGTGTGCGCGCTCACGCCTTCACACCCATGTGCCTGCTCACGCCTTCACGCCCGTGTGCCTGCTCACGCCTTCACGCCCGTGCGCGTGCCCTTCTCTGCCGGGAACCCCTCCTCCCACTTCACCTTTAACTGGTTCTTCCCACTTGGCCGAGCGCCCCTCTTGGGGAGGCCTTCCCGGACCCCGGTACCTGCCCCCCCAGCACCTGTCGGCTTCCTGTAGCTGAGCTCTGCCCGCTCCCCACCTTCTCCCAAAGGCCACAGCGCGCGTTTAGAAATGAACAAGGACCCAAGAGAGTGCCACGTCCCAGCAGCCCGTTTGAATATTTTAATGGAATTCCCCCCCCCCGCCCCCGCCGCCCCGCCTTTCTTTAAGGTTAAGTCCAGCTTCCAGCTTCAGGCTTGTGAGGGTCCTGAGCAGGGTCCTGGGCAGGTCCCCACCCCCGTGCCCAACAGGGAACCTGGCAGCCAGCAAGGGCGGGGGGGCGGGGGAGGAGGCCAGGTCCCGCCCCCACGAGCCGCCATGGCCGCCCGGCCTCGGCCGCAGCTCCCAGTCACTTCTCCTTTTTTCCCTAAACTCCGATCCCTGGAGTTTTAAGCGCCACCAGCGATGTTCTCGGAAACCCAGGCGGCTCCCCCGCCCTGCTCCCTCGGGAAAGACGGCCTGTGTGCCCCCCCCCCTCCCCGGCCCCCGCCCGGCCTTTGTTGCACAAACTGCCCGGGAGCCATGTTCGCTTCCCGCGAAAGGAAAGGCCGGCGGGCAGCCTCCGCCTCCGCCTGGCTGCGTCCCAGCCCGCGGAGGAGAAAGTGCGCCCGGCCCGGCCCGGGCCTCCCACGTCCCCGTGATCTCGGGGCGCGGTAACCGCCACCGACACCAGGCTCCCGGCCGGAGCCGCGGGGTGCCGTGAGGGACCTCCGGGCGCCCCGACGCCCTGGGCCAGGGGCCGCTCCCGTCGGGTCCGAGCTGGGCACCCCCACCCCGCCCAACCCCACCCAGCGCTCCACACAGCGCAGAGCCTCCCCTCCCCCTCCCTCCGCCCCCCCAGCTTCCCTCCTCCCTGGGGCCCCCCCCCCGCGACGCACCCCGGGGGGGCCCCCCACGCGCCCCCCTCCGCCCCTCCGCCGCGCGCGCAGGGGAAGGGGCGGGGCCTAGGCGCGGGCGGGCGGCGGGATTGGCCAGCGTGGGCGGGCGCGGCGCCCGCTATAAAAGGCCGCGGGCCGGGGCCTGCGCCACAGTCTCCGCGGAGAGCGGCCGAGGTTTCCTGCTTCAACAGTGCTTGGACGGAACCCGCCGCCACCGCCACCGCCACCGCCGCCTCCACCGCCCCGCCGCCTCCACCGCCTCCGCCTCCGCCTCCTCCTCGCAGCGCCCCGGACCCCGACCACCCAAGGCCCCCGCCTCCGCTGCAGCGCCGCGCCGTCGCCTCTCCGCCGCCGCCGCCATGTCCACCGCGCCCGCCTCGCAGGTGCGCCAGAACTACCACCAGGACTCGGAGGCCGCCATCAACCGCCAGATCAACCTGGAGCTGTACGCGTCCTACGTCTACCTGTCCATGGTGAGCCGGCTCCCCGGCGGGCGGAGGGCGCTGCTGGGCCGGGTCCCCCCCACCCCACCCCCCGGCGCCCTTCGGGAAAATGGAGGCCGCGCGAGGCCTCTGGCGCTCTCCTGGCGCAGAAACCCCGCGCGCCTCGCCCTTCCCGACCGCCTCCCGGGGGCGCCGCTGTGCGTCCGGTGGCCTGGTTTCCGGGGAGCCCAGGGCAGCGTCCGCAGTCGGGAAGGGGGTTCTGCATTTCCATCCCTCCCGGCGTCCGATCACGTGACCCCGGTGCCCTCGGCTCGCCGGGCTAACGGGCCGAGAGGTCCCCCCGCCCCACCCCACCCCCGGCTGCGCTGGAGCCTTCTGGGTAATGGTGTCGAATAGCAACCTCGGGGCTGGCGCGAGCGGCTTATCTTCGTGGGCGCCCCCTCCCGAGCAGCTGTCTCCACCCCCGGCTCTGCTTATCTCGGGGCCCCACTGGCGTGGGGGCGAGTCTCAGCCGTCTCCCGTCTGGGGGACCCCAGGTTGCCTGCTGGTGCTGCCTGGGCCCTTCATTTTCTTACCCTTCGGGGTCTAGGAATCGCGGCCCTCTACTGGGACGCTCGGTTCTTGGATAAAATCCACCAGCAGTTACTGGGCGAGACGTTTTCCGGTGGGAGGCGGGGCGGCGGGCGGGAGGTGGGGCTGGAGTTGTCCTGCGGTTGTGCCCGGCCATGGCCGCGTCCCCCTGGCCGGCCAGCGGGCCTGGGTTTCTGTTCGGAGCTCCGAACACAGCGAGGGTCTAAACACCGCCTCCCATCCACCTACCCGCTGAGCGCTGCCCACAGTCGCGCCCCCGCTAGTGGGTTAATTTTAGAAATCCCTCCGCCAGCCGCTCACTGTGAACATGTCACGGAGGGAGGGGGCGCAGGCACCTGCAGGAAATCCGACACCCGCGGGAGGACTTGGCCGCATTTCATCCTGGAGGCAGTGCCTCTGAGGCTCCCCGCAGCCGACCTCCCGTTCCAGAGGCCCGGCTTCCCCTGTCCCTTTGGGGAGAAACTAATGACCGCTGGGTTCAGTCCAGGAGCGCGGCCTGCCCCTCCCTAACCCGCTCATGTACCCCCGCAGTCTTACTACTTTGACCGCGACGATGTGGCTTTGAAGAACTTTGCCAAATACTTCCTTCACCAATCGCACGAGGAGAGGGAGCACGCGGAGAAGCTGATGAAGCTGCAGAACCAGCGCGGCGGCCGCATCTTCCTCCAGGACATCAAGGTGAGCACAGGCCCAGGGAGCCCCGCAGCTGACCTCCCGGCCCGCTTTTTAGTTTAAATGTTTGTATTGATCTTAGCGGGGAAGGGAGAGGGTTGGAAATTTAGATGTTCCTTTCACCGAAAGGTCTGCCTGCCAAATTGTCGTGGTGCCCTCGGTAAGACTGGGTGCCTTGCCCTAACTCCCTCTCCTTCAGAAACCAGACCGCGACGACTGGGAGAATGGGCTGAACGCAATGGAGTGTGCGCTGCACTTGGAAAAAAGTGTGAATCAGTCACTACTGGACTTGCACAAACTGGCCACTGAGAAAAATGACCCTCATGTGAGTATTGGCCCCTGGGGGTAAATGGAGGAGTGGTCTTTCTGGTGGCTGGGAGTTGACTGTGTTCTTCCCATTCTGTGTTTGTAGTTGTGTGACTTCATTGAGACTCACTACCTGAATGAGCAGGTGAAATCCATCAAAGAACTGGGCGACCACGTCACCAACTTGCGCAGGTTGGGGGCCCCTGAAGCGGGGATGGCCGAGTACCTCTTTGACAAGCACACCCTGGGGGACAGCGACGAGAGCTAAGCCTTGGCTGCTTCCCGTGGCCTCGGGGAGACTTCCTGGTCCCCCAAGCAGTACTGCATGTTGGCGCGACCTTTACCTTTTCTATAACTTGTACCAGATCATCCACTCATGTCTGTCATTTGTACCGTTCCTTCCAATAAAGTAATTTGGTACCCAGCTGTTGTCTGAGTTCCTGGGATTGGCTTGCAGTATATCTAGGCCACCTTTGCGAAATGCGTCAATGCCAGGTTCACACTAATTAAAATGAGACGCCTAACAGGACTTGTGTTTATGAAAACCCTTAGTTTATTCATCCTCAGTTACGTGAAACTCCTAAGTTCATGAAAGATACCAAGGCTTGGGGGTGTGGAATTCAGACAGGACTCTGGGACTCCTGATTCTGAATTACATGTTTCTAGTGGCTCATTCTAGCTTTCATTTATGTACAAAAGGCATTTAAAGGCTTAAGGAGTCTAGAAACCAATGATTATCATTATCCACTGAGCTGACCATGTAATTCAGGCTGTCGGGAGCACCCGTGTGGACAGCTGTGTGTCTGTGACAGGGTCAGTGTCCCGCTGGTGTGTACACGGGTGGGACCAGGCGGGTGCCGCTGCCCCTGGGAGACGGGCTAGGGATGTGCTTCATCCCTGTTGGAAATTTGAGAAAGTTCACATGAGCATGGAAGGTCCCTTCATTCCAATACGACGTTAGCAGCAGCGGGAGAGCGAAGGTTGAGCATCTTAGATATTGGAAGTGACTAGTGCGGCACTGCAGAGCCGTTACATGTTTCCCAAGTCAGCCACAGTGATTAGGTTTCTGTCTAGCCCTGGAAGCAAGACATGGTGGCCCTTTTAGATCTCACAGCTGTGTATTCTGACCACAGAAGGAACTTCTTGAGAATCTAGAAATAGGAAGTTAAACTTCCCTCCCACATGATGGGGGTGGAGCGAGACAGATGTATAACAGGGTGGGTCTAAGGATGGAATAAAGGGGACACGGGGGGTTGTGACAGCGTGGATTGACCCCAGGAAGCAGGAAGAGCACATTTGAAGTTAAGTCTCGATGAAGTGCCCAAAGCAGTGAGACGCCCCCAAGGGACCTGCGTGCCTCAACCATCCAGAGGTGTGGCAGCCTTCGCCAGAGCTTCAGGCCAGTGGTGGTCTTGGGGGACTGCTCATAGACAACTTCTCAATCTGGGCAGGGAGTTGGATTCTTGGGCTACCGCTAGAGCCCCCCCGCTCTGCCCCATGGGATTTTGTGTCTCCCACGCTGTTGAAGGTGAGCTGGACCCAGGGATAGCATCTCCCATCGAAGCCTGGCCTGGTAGCCCCTCCCAGCATTCCCGTTAGGGCAGCCGCCTCCTCACCGCAGTCGCAGGGACTCCCTCCTGGTGACACCAGACTTGGGGTGAAATGAACGAAAGTCCCCAACACTTTCCTAGGGCCCCTGCCGAGGTGGCCAAGTGTGCGCCGCAAGCCAGCGCTGGGCCAGGTCCAGCCTGCTCTGCAGTGATGGAGCCCTGAGGAAACCGGAGCAAGGGGAGCTGGGGTGGGGCTGGTTGGGGTAGAGCACAGACCTGTTTTCCGAGGCCCAGTAGGGGTCGTGGTCTGTGAGCGCCGTGTGTATGCTGCTTGTCTATCGTGTATGTGGTTCTCGGAGACGGTTCTCGGGGGCCGCTGACAGGTGACACTCGACAGTTTTCCTCTTGCTGTGACAATTCCGGGGGCTCCATCGAGGCCCCTGCACACTCTGGGAGCAGCTCCAAGCTCCTCCTGGCCCCTCGCGTCACAGGCTGCGGGCTCTGGTCTTTGACAGTGCTGTCAATGCGGCCGCCGGGAACTCTGTGGAGACTGGGGGGTGCTGAGGGTCCTGGTGGGAACACCATGGGGGTGGAGCTGAGCGGCGTCTGGGGGCCACTGTGGTAGCCCGACCTCCCATACAGCGCCGCGGACTTAAAGGCCTGCTCCCCCCTCATCTTCCAGGCCTCGCTGTCGTGCGGTCCCCGGGGCGCTTCCTGGCACCCCTGAGGTGCTCGGGCTGGCCCTCAGGGAGGAGGCCTTCCTTCTGGGGCAGCAGTAGCTTGGTCTTCGAGCTCGTCCTGCTGGGGTGGTGGTGGGACTGCAGCCCCAGGAGGCGGCCGAGGATGCCAGGGTGCGCGCCCGCCCCCCCTGCCTCCCCCTGGCTGGGCTGGAACTCCGTCTCTTCCTTGTGCAGACTGGGAAGAAGCAAGAAGCTGAGGTTGAGTAGCGGGCACAAAGGGACCAAACCCGACCTGATTTCTCCCTCAGCCCCTCTTCTCCCTCCCCCTGGCCCCAGGGCAAGGACACGGTCTTCCTCACAATGCCGACTCGCCTCTCCTGATCCGTCCTGTACCTCCTGAGTCATCCTCCCGGCCCAGCTCACCCAGCTGCTCTGTGGCTCCCTTTTGCCCGTGTTAACACGCAGGCTCCTCGCCTGGCATGTGCGCTTCCGCCTGGGGAGCAGCGTCCCCAAGGAGAGAAGTCGCCCTCGCCCTGTCCAAACCTCCCCAGGCTGCAGGCCCAGCGGCAGGCCCCTCCCTCCAGGGGGCACAGTGACCTCCTCTGTCCTGTCCCTTCCCCGGCATCCAGGACCTGCCTGTGTATCCAGTGTCGCTGAAGCGTGTGTCCCCGGGAGGCCAGGCCTATGCATTCCTTTCTGCTCCTCCCCCTCCGTCTCCACAGCCTTCGGTTGCTGAGTACAGATCGGGCAGAGCTCGAAGGCCACCTCCGGAAATGTTTCAGTTGACCACCTTTCCAAGCCTTGTTCACGCCACTAGGAGACGCCAGCTAATTCTAGTTTCAGACTAATAGGATATTGTGTTCTTAAAAGCGCAGGAAGAGAGCAGCTTAACACTGTGGGGGGAAACCTTGATAGACACGCACCGGAGTCCTCTTCACGCTCATCGAGAGAGAGCTGTCTGGGCGCCCCTCAGCCCACGGAGGCCCAGCGGCAGCTCCAAAGGGATTCTGACCCCATCGGGGAAACGGCACCCACGTGGGCGGTCCGAGGCCTTTCCTCTGTAGCACAAAGTCTACCCAGAAGGTCCCTGTGAGGACCCAGCCTCCTGCTGGGGCGTACCTGCCCCCGCCCCCATTTCAGGGACACCCCACCCTACCACCACCGTTCCAAACGCCCCGGCTTATCAGAAAACAGTTCCGGACCAGCGTTAGGAGCCAGGCCCTGACACCCCAACAGGATCACTGACCACTGACTGCCCTCAAGTAAGTCCCTTCTCTCTCTGGGCCTCAGGGTCCCTCTCTGGACACAGGGCCTTAGACTGGAGGTCCCCAAGAGCCCTGAAGCAGGACAGGAAAGAGGGAAAGGTGGGAGGTGAACCAGACATACCCGGGCCACACGTGCCGCCTGCTAGCCGTGTGACGGTGGGCTCGGCAACTACCTAACCTCGCTGAACCTGGAATTAGCCGTCTGGAACTGGAGCTAACAAAGCAAGGGTATGGGGAGAAAACCACAGTCACTGCATGTAAAGGGCTTAGTGCAGTGCCGGGCGCTTAGCATCCGGTGTGCGCTAACGAGGCGCTCTGTGCCAGGCAGGCCCATGCACTGGGTTTTCTCTCCACCGAGGTGGTTCCCTGGCACTGCCCACCTGACATTGAAGGTGGAGCCAGAAAGGAGGGTCGGCGAGACTGGGCAGAAGCGGCCGTGTCGGGGGGCTGTGGCTCCGGGTCGTTCCAGGACAGGTCCCGCTCCACTGGGGGCAGGTCCTGGTGCATCTCGTCCACGGCCAACAGGGACGCCTGGCCGTCGGGGACAGAAGCAGGAGTCCCACAGGAAGATCAGCCAAGCAAGACCATGAACTTGCCAGGTGACCGGGAGAGGCCACTTCCGTGTCTCTGGGCCTCAGTTTCCCTAGTTGCAAAATGGAGAGACTGACACCCACCTGAAGCCGCAAAAATTGGGGTGAGAATCCTGGGAGGGGAGAGGAGGCCATTCAGTGTCAGGCCTCTCTACAGAACTTCAGGGTCCCGGTCCCTGGGTCCCTTTTGGGGAAAGCTCATAGGACGGGCTCCCTCCCCCCCGCCCATACCTGCAAGCTCCTGGCCACAATCCAGTTGGTCTCAAAGTCATCGGCATCTTCTCCAAACGGGTTGGTGAGCTGCTCTGCCACCTTGGGGGCAGGTGAGGCTCTGGGAATCCCCCTTGCAGCCTTGCAGCCTTGCTCCCGCTCTTAGCCCTCAGCTCCTGGCATTCTCCCAGGACCCCCTCCGGCCTGACCTTTGTCTCCAAAGCCACTGTGTACAGGCTCCCGCCACCCACACAGGGCGGTCCTCACACACACGGGCCCTTTCCGACTGCCCTGAGCCAGGCAGGTATAATCTATTCATTTGTTCAGTTACTCATTCAATTTTCAAACACGTATTTATTCATGGCTTTCAGATGCAACAGACATATATGCTGTAGCTGCGCTGAATTAAAGGGTCGCCAGGCGGCAGACTCCCCAACGCCCTGCAGTGGTGGTGAGTGCAGTGCGCTAAGGCAGGCAGGTCAAACTCGGGGCCCACAACGAATGTTCTTGCGGCCCAGCCAATAACCGTATGTAAGAAACGTTTCAATAAAAAGTTCCTAATTTAACTTTTACAATATCCTGTCATACATCATTATCAATAACCGACTACAACGTTCGCTAATGACTGATGACTATCATCGTGCTGCATTCATTTTCCTGACGCGCCTTACGCGCAGGCGCACCATTTCTCTCCACTAACACCAGCAGCGAATATTTCAGCAGCCGATGGCCACCTCATTAGTCTTGTACTGACTTGTTTGGTGTGCGCAACAGGAAATATTTTGCTTTTGGAGAACAAAAAAAATACGTTTATTTGCATAATGCTTATTTATGCAGTTATTCAGTGTCTGGTAAGTGAATGTTTAAGAAAAAATATTAATTCTTATTAAAATGTTCTATTATTTTATGCTAACGATGACTCATTTATTTCAGCCCTTTGTATTCAGCATGTCTCTATCGAAATAAACCTACATTTCTATGAAAATGGAAGCTTTTGTTTTTTTTTGTGGCCCACATACAGTTACACCTTGTGTATTTGGCCCGTGTGAGCATTTGAGTCTGACCCGCTTGCACTAAGGCATCAAGGGATATCCTGCAAGCTGCAGGGCACCACGGGAGAACTTCAAGCAGCAGAATGGTGTGATGGGGTCTGGCCGGTGTGGCTCAGTGGTTGAGTATCGACCCATGAACCAGGAGGTCACCATTTGCTTCCCGGTCAGGGCACATGCCTGGGTTTGGGGCTTGGTCCCCAGTAGGGGGTGTGCAGGAGGCAGCCCATCAATCATTGATTTTTTAAAAAATATATATATATATTTTTTAAATATTTTATTGATTTTTTACAGAGAGGAAGGGAGAGGGATAGAGAGTTAGAAACATCAGTGAGAGAGAAACATCGATGAGCGGTTGCCTCCTGCACACCCCCTACTGGGGATGTACCCGCAACCAAGGTACATGCCCTTGACCGGAATCGAACCTGGGACCCTTCAGTCCGCAGGCTGACGCTCTATCCACTGAGCCAAACCAGTCAGGGCTATATATATATATATTATTGATTCTTTACAGAGAGGGAGGGAGAGGGATAGAGAGTTAGAAACATTGATGAGAGAGAAACATCGATCAGCTGCCTCCTGCACACTCCCCACTGGGGATGTGCCTGCAACCAAGGTACATGCCCTTGACCGGAATCGAACCTGGGACCCTTCAGTCCGCAGGCCGACGCTCTATCCACTGAGCCAAACCGGTTAGGGCGCATCAATCATTGATGTTTCTATCTCTCTCTCCCTTTCCCTTCCTCTCTGAAATCAATAAAAAAATATATTTTATAAAATGTTTTTAAAAATGGTGTGATTTGGTTTGATCTGTAGATAACTGGGGGACGGGTAGCTGTGTGTGTGTGTGTGTGTGTGTGTGTGTGTGTGTGTGTGAACATGGACAGAGGTAAGAGAGGGAGACACTACCACCAGGCCGGCAGGGGAGAGCAGTTAGGGGGATCAGGCCAGTAGGGGAGAGCAGTTAGGGGGATCAGGTCGGCAGGGGAGAGCAGTTAGGGGGATCAGACCAGCAGGCAGGTGAGAGGTTAGGAGCCAGTGGTCCAGGATTGTGAGAGGGATGTTCAGCTGCTAGTTTAGGCCCACAGGGATCGGGCCTAAACCAGCAGTCAGACATCCCCTGAGGGGTTCTGGATTGGAGAGGATGCAGGCCGAGCTGAGGGACCCCCCACCCCCACCCCCGCCTCCCTGTCCATGAATTTCGTGCACCAGGCCTCTAGTTCTAACAATAAAAGAGGAGTATATTGGTGCCCTGGTAAGAACCCAAGAAAACCAATGGGCTTTGTGATCAGTATTACCACTACCAACTCGAGAATTTTAAGTATTGGATAGTTTCAATCCCTTCAGTCATGAATGCTTTTCCCATCAATCCCTTCAGTCATGAATGCTTTTCCCATTTAAAATACTGTCATATATTCGGAGATTCTATCTGTCCTGTTTTATTGTTTAAATAAACATTTTTGTTGAGGAATAAAAAAGGTACGGTCTGGACCTGTGAGCCTGTGTGGGATTCGGGAAGACGGGCTGGCTGAATGGGACCAGGGAAGGCCTGGGCTCGGGGCCTCCCTGGGCTGGAGGAATGGTGTCTGAGATGCTCCCTGTCAGTCTGCCTCCTGTTCTCCCCCCCCCAACCCCCCCCCCCCCAGCCCCGAGCCACCCCACCCCCACCCAGGGCTGGGCCACAGCTCAGCTGAGCCTCACAAGCCTCTGGTGCATGGCCCTCTGGGTGGCTTGGAGGTCTAGGCGCTGGAGGCCTCAACTGCACCCCCCAGGCCCACCCCGGCCCCCCGCCTGCACCCATAAATGAAGCGGATGGTGTAGTAGCTGAGCAGGAAGATGAGGAACTCGCCGTAGAGCAGCTTGTAGATGCTGCCTCGCCAGCACAGCAGCAGGCGAGAGAAGGAGGCCAGGCGGGCATTAGCTACTTGGTGTGAGTAGGTGACGGGCATGGTCGGGCCCGGAGCTGCAGCAGGTGGGCTGGTGGGCAGAGAGGACACCGATGGGGGCCGGGAGGGAGCAGGGGCCTTGGTCAGAGCCTGTCTGGGGCTCATGTGTGACCTGAGCCAGGACCCATCAGCTCTTCCTCAGGACACCGACCTGCGGGTGGGGTGGCCCTCCGGCCCTACCGGCTCCGGCTGCCTGTGGGAGGTGGGAGTGAGCCCAGAGGCCGCCCACAGCCTTGGCAGGGAGGACAGAGAGAAGTCTGTGTCCTTAACTTGCACGACAAGGGCAGTGACACAGTGCACACACTGGGCCCAGCCTTCTGTGCTGAGCCCCCCTTGATGGTTAGCTCCCCAGGCCCCCTGGAGAAAGATGGGTAAGAGGCCTGGTCAGTCTTGTCCACTGTCCGTCCCCAGAGCCCAGAACAGAGCCAGGCTGGCGGCAATGTTCACATAATGCTCCCTGAAGGGTGGCCCAGGCCTCCCGCCTGCGGTCTTCCTGCCTGGGGGGCGCTCTTTCCCATCTAACTCACTGACCTAACTGTATTGCTCGTTTCCACTTCAGGTCATCTCTGCAGAAGAGGTGTCCCCAGCCCCTACCTGGACGTGGCCACCCACACTTCCGGTCGCTCCCCTTGCTCAGCTGTCCTACGCGGCCCTCAAGCGTGTTACAGTGCCGTTATATTTTGCCGCTATCTGCTGGTTTACTGCCTGTCTTCCCTTAGAGTGGAGGCCCCTATTGTTTCTCCATGAAAATGTGTTGAAGCACTGACTGGCGCCCACCCTCCCCCACCTGCTCTGAGCAGCCACACTGGCTGCCTCTCTGTGCCTGGTGCACACCCAGCCCCTTCCCCCCTCAGTGCCTTTGCACGGACGCACCGGCGTCCACACCCCTGCACATGTGTTGCCTGTGTGTAGACATCACACACACACACATATATGGTGTGAGTAGGTGACGGGCACGGTCGGGCCCGGAGCTGCAGCAGGTGGGCTGGTGGGCAGAGAGGACACTGATGGGGGTCAGTCATCTACCCCAAAGGCCCCCAAAGCCCAGCCCGCCTGCCTGGGCAACCCCTACTCACAGGAGGGGCTCCAGACTGGTCGGCGATCCCCCAGAAGGTCTGGCCGCTGGACTGATGGGGCTCTCCGGGGTCCTGTGACCAGGGCCCCTGCCCGCACTTAGGGCCTGGCACTGCCCTGTGGGTGCTAAGCCGTCACTTGACTCCCTAAGGCAGCACCTGCACAAAGGAGCCCTTGTGTTCGTTCCTCCCCATAATCTGCCCAGAAGCTCAGTCCCCCAGGGACCCCCTAATTCCTTCCTGGGGTGGGGGCGGGGGATGGGCTGAGAGCAGGGCTGAGATTTCCGGTAACCCCCCTCCACTGCGGGCCCTGCCAATCCTGCCACCTTCTTGGGGCCCTACAATCCGGAAGCTTCTGGCAGGCGGTGCTGCGGGAGAAGGGCAGGAGCTGCCGCAGAGGGGGCACCTCTCCCAGGCCTCGGGGGGCTCAGGCAGCACCAGGAGCCACACTCAGTGGCCCTGGCTGTGCCACGGGTGTGCGGGGACCCTGAGTGGGCCTGTGCTCCTCTCTAGGCCTCTGTGTTCCAATCTGCAAAGGACGGTGTTTCTTTTTTTTATTTTCTTTTAAATATTTTATTGATTTTTTAGAGAGGAAAGGAGAGGGATAGAGAGTTAGAAACATCAATGAGAGAGAAGCATCCATCAGCTGCCTCC